TTGAAACATTCCCCCCCCGGCATTAATTTCACTTCAAGAGACCCAAAACTTAGCTAACATTATTGGAATCCTCAAGTTTCAAAGAATTGAGTGCACCACATCCCAGTACGCCCGTAGTCCTGGAAGCTGTAGCTATCTACAGAAATGACAAAAATTCCAAGACAATCTAGACTTACAGTGACCATTATGGGGAATGTTTCAATTACACATACAAAAAATGGGATACCTATTTTAACTGGAATGCAGAAACCTCCAAAAAGCTTCAAAATTCCAAAATAGCTTCATTGCAAGACTCATTTAAAAAAAACTAATGAGAAATTAATGACACAAGAGGTAACTAAAAGACTGTAAGACTGACTTGACTCCCACTACTCCTCTCAATCTTCCTTGACCTGAGTACTCACTAATCCTCTTCTGAACTGCCTTTCCACTCTGAAGAGACCACAAGATGATAAGTAAAGACCACTGAGTTATCTGGCAGCTGCAACAGATTCAGAGTCAGAAACTAAAGCACCTGGCCCTTCCCCTTTGTACCCTTCTATGCGTCCAACATAAAAACACTGGCTCAGAAATCTGTGTGTCTATTGCACTCGATCAGGACACTGGAAAAAAGATTGTACTCAAAGATTTTGTTAACTCCTTTCACAGCAACTCAAACGCCCCCAAATCTACCATGGAAGGAGGGTCCCTCCCAGTGCTGATGGGACTCCCAGGGATTCTCCAGTCAACTGTTATAATTATGTCCTTAAACTGCCAAGGGGAAATTAAAATGAATGGAAAGCCTTGCCGCGTTCCGGTAGATAGCGGGGGCTACACTCTCTACGTTAAACCCCACTCATTCTGGAACTTGCACATGGGATCCCAGGAAAACTGACAGAAGCCGAGAAAGGGTGAGAATTCTTACCAGAGTCAGCGCTCCTGGGTCTCTGCAGTGCCTGGTGAGAGAGGAAGGTGAAGTTTCAAGTGGCCCCTCTCTTTCCAAATCCTGACCCACTGGTTGTCCATCCTTTCTCTCCCAGGAACAGCAACTGCTTTTTGGCATAACATGTGCCGTCAACAGAAACACATTTTCCATTCCTGTCTTCCACCCACAAATTTAGCGCCTTTTCCATCTTACACTTTGCTGACTGGTCACGTTTCCGTGTCGGGACCTTGCTGACCGGTCACGAGATAACTCGTGTCTGCACTTATATTAAGTAACTTTAAACACCTTGCTGACCAAAGTAGCCGGCTGCTGGGAGAGTTCTGGCTTGAAACAGCTGGTTATCAGGCGTTAAACTAAGCGACTTACACTGTGGTCATAACTTGTGCAGTTTGAGGTGTGACGGCAAAACTAGCACCAATTTCTTTTTCCTTCATCACAGTTTCACAGATTTGTTCTTGCCGTAGCTCTCAGCAACCTCAGCACATGACTTTTTTCTTTCCTTATTAGGTTAAGAACTTTCACCTTTTCACTTAATGGAAGCACTTTCCCGCTTCTCCTTGGCATATCCGAATCGCCAGTGTTGCTGCTCATGCGCTCTGGGGCGGCTATTAAGTCAAATGACGGGGGGAGGGTCCTTGACCACAAGCAGCGCGACACCTCAACGGCGCCCGACACCTCAGACGGCCGCTGGACGACTAAGGCGGGGAGGGGCCGTAGCGGAGACGCGATTCACGTCCGGGGGGCGGGGCTGAGCAGGACTCGCGAGATTTCAACACGCTCCTCAGAGCGGTGTGCGATGTAAAGCTCAGGAATTGCTCGTTTCTGGGATTTTCTATCTAACCCTTTCACACTGCAGTTGACCGCAGGTACCTGAAACTGCAGAAAGCAAAATCTCAAATAAGGGGGGGACTAATGTATACTTATTCTAGTAGTTAAGGTTCGGGGATTATCTGCGTAGCAAACTTTTGCTGATTAAGACCCTGAAATGTCTTATCAGATTGCATTATATCCAGTATGGATTTGGTGGCTTTACTTGACAAATATTAAGCACCTACTGTGTGCCAGGCATAGTTTCAGGTGTGAGGCCTACGCCAGTGAGCAGACACTAAACGAACAGGTGTGTGTGCCTACTTGTGATAAGCACCACGCGGGAAATAAAGCAGCGGAAGGCGGGAGTGGCGGGGCGGGGGTGCTTTCCTTCCATTTCTCCAGAGGTCTCGCTTTCACCGGTACTCAGGGCCTCAGCAGGTGAAGTTCCCTTTCCTGGGTCCCCTCCTCTTCCTCTTAACGCCCCCTTTTGCTTGGTTTCCTCTCCCTGTTCTGCACAGCTCAGCCCCAACTCAGTTCCTTAGGGAAGCCTCTGGCCTCCGGAGGGGAGCAAGCTCAGGTTCCCCTGAGCAGCACCACCGAGCTGCTGAGCACAGTGGGCGGCCTGTGGGTGAAGTCGTTGAATGCCTCGGTCCCCTCAGACTAAGTTCAGGGAAGCAGCTGTGCGCCTTCCTCGCAGCTGAGTCGGTAGAACCTTGCAGTTTTCAGGGTAGCTACCCAACAAATGCATGCTGGATGTCTGAGTGACTTTCAGTGTACCAGAGGATCCAATTACACAGAGAAGTCCCCTTCCCAAGCCTGCTTACAAAATACTGTGCTTTATCTTGTAGGGCATTTAAATAACTTTGGCAATTATTTTTAATAGAAAGATTAATCTGAGTAATTTTGTTTCATTTGATTATGAATATCAATACTAGCTCATGATGTCACTATCTTCCACTGTAAGTCTTCACTAACTCTCTGAGCTACACTTTTACATAAATCATCTTTTACTTGTAAAAGATTGAGTCATAAATAGGCAGAATCAACCCATGCTTTTATTTTCATTGCATATAAAAATTTCATATGAAGGTATTGATGTACAGTACTATCCCCATGGGCTGTAAGAGAGGCTAAGAAACCACTAAAAGAATCATCATTTGTAATGCTCACACACAATTTACCACTCTGAAAACATTATCTAAGGAAATAAAATAAAAAACAACTAAAACCAATAAGGATGTGTTTTTGTAATTATAGTGTCCCCTTTGTACTGTTTAAAACAAAAGTAATCAAATTCCTTTGGGCCAGGGCTGCTAAAATCTACAGTTTGTGTCAAAAAAATAAAACAAAACAACAAATAGGAGGCTCATTTTTCCTAAAAAAAAGAATCTCTCCTTTCACTAAGTCATGTTTTCTGAGGGCTGGGCAGCAGTAGGAGGTTTCCACAGCATCCACTGTGAAGTTTTCACAGCTTTTGGGAGCTGACTATTTGTGAAAGGTTACATTTAAAATTCGAAAGCAATATAAGTTTTGCAGAAACAAATTCTAGAGAATGGTAAATCCTTTATGCTATGTCAACTGGTATAAAAAATGTATATCATACATACTTACATATAAAAAAATTTGGTTGATTTTAGTTGAAGAAAATTTCCAGGGTTAAAAAAATGACCTTTTTTATATTATATATTCTCTTAATATGACAGGAAGAGAATGAATAGATGACTAACCAGCATGTGTGAGACCTTTGGCTCTAGTTTCAAATCAAGTTCATTTGCCTATGTGCTCTAGAAGCCAAAGATACTTTTTATAATCACTGCACAAGAATATATTTTCCCAGTAGTGTCTGAAAGTAGAAAACAAATGTAACTAACTCAAGTAGCTCCTGAACAACAGATGGGGAAAACCATCATCATATAGGCAATGATGCTTCGTGGAAAGAAGTCCTTAAGCTTGTATCTCAAAAGGGTCCCAGAATCTTCCAGAGGGTGTCTATGGTTTTGTAAAATCCAGCTATTGCCAGAAAACCAATTGATTCAAAGCTCAGATGTAAAATGCCCAGCCCTAGCCTCACCATAACCTTACTTTCAAATGCAGCAAAACAGAAGAAAATATTGGTTAAAGTTAAGGCACAGCCCTGGGACCAAAGACCTGCAGCTATGTTTTTTAAATTTATATATCTTTATGTATTTTATAGTTTTTCTTGAATTTTCCATAAACAAGCTCTAAGGTGACAAGACTATATTACAGGAAAAAAGAAAATGTACAAGGAGTATGTATACACACCATTCATTCTCTCACCAAGAGTTTCCAAATATATCAACACCATCCCATCATGGGATGATGTTTTAATAAGAACCGATAATTTACAATTAACATTACAGTATGTACATTACAATAAATACATGGTTGTAAACAGACAAACAAGACTGTATTACAGGTAAGGTCATTTGGTGAGAAAAAAATGCATGGCACAAAAAAATAAATAATGCATTCAAAAATTATCATAAAGCTTTCTGTGAAATCCATTTCATTCAAGTTTTTTTTTCTCCTTATCTGCAATTGGTTCTATCTACATTATTTTCTTGTGAATTTTAAGTGATGTAAAAAGAAAGTAAAATTAAAACAGCATTATTATGTTTAGTAACTTGCAAGCTGAAATGTACTGGTTTTATACAAACTTGGACATCTTTTCCCCATACAGTACCCAGATATTGCATTTTCCTATGGTATTTTAGGAAATGTAAAGCCACTTGTGAAAGGATGTTATCTTTAAAGCGGTGTATGATTCTGAAGCACACTTGGGCAAGAGAGGAGGAGAGAAAGGAGGGAGGGAGGCGATAAGCAGGTCGTACAGTGCATTAGTCCCTGTCTCTTGGATATTACGCATTTTCTACAATTTGATTGTCAATCAGTGGGTATCTTCACAACATGTGACCATTAAAAACCGACAAACTGGAAAAAAAAAAAAAAAGCCTCTCTTTTTTAGTGCAGTTACAAACCCTTTCAAGGTCTGGATTTGTTTGTGACATATTGCTGCTTAAAAATTTTTTTTTTCATTATTAAGATTCTAGGCACTCTGTGGGGGAAATACCAAGTATTAGGGAGAGGAGGGAATGGGACTATTTTGCAAAAAGGAATAAACCCTAGATTTTTTGCCTTTTCTTCTACACCTTCATCAGGGATACATGAAATTAAACAGAAACAAGTTTCCAAGAGTTCTTGTGAAACCATTTGGACAAATACAGGACTTTATTTGAAAGATTACTGCCTGATCTGTACAGGGAAAGGAGGGTGGAAATCTGATCATTAATTAACTGATTCCTGTTCTCTGTGTAAAAGATCAGAACTACGTAAGTTTTCCATCAGCGGATCTCAGGGGATTAAAACAGCCATCTTCAGCCTGGGTCATTTTTCTGGCTGATGACTTAGTTACTAATCCCCAGAAGGCTCCCTGTGACATCCCAAGTATAAATGTTTTTCAGGGTTACACCTTTTCTTAACTGTTTTATTTATTTTCCATTTAGTCAGATACCCCCTTTAGTTCTATGTCAATTCTTGGATATCAATGTGAAAAATGATTCTTTGGGTTCCAAACCCTTTACAGAGAAGGTGAACACTTTGTTAAGAGCTGAAATGGGAAGAAAGTCCTAAGTAAATAAATGCCTCAAGATGCCAACTGATGGTAAATACTGGGAATCAATCTCTAGAGTTGTAATAGATTTCTTGGTGCTAAATTCAGCCAAGAATGATCTCTTAATTTTTAATTTCAGCATAATCGTCTTACCCAACCCAGTATTTTAGGAGGGTGTTACATTAGCAAACCTCTGGTGCTAGTGGCATCATCAACTTCTTTCCTCAGGATGTTTAGAGAAGCTCTCCTCTATAAGACATATTTATGAACCAGTGATAACTGATAAAGCAATTCCTTCATGTTACGTGCCTGTCCGTTAAGGAAGGGTAGTTGCTACACTTAAAATCACTTCTTAAGATTATTCCTTATATAGTTCTTAATCCCATGGTAAAATCATAGAAACAAATACACATTAGTTGTACTGGTGTTTGTTAATATATTCTGCTAATATTGTTAAAACTGCCTAACTAGCCGTTAACTTTTCTCTGTAAATCAAGAGTAAAACCTAGTCATTCTACATGACCTCACAGTAGAAATGAATGCTAACTCTAACCTGACT